TTCATTGTCATTAGTCATTACTATTTCTCAAGTTTTCAAGCACGCACATAACAATCAAAACTAATTAAAGCAGTGAAACTTTGCTTTGCATTTTTTGTTTGTTTTCACTTCATAATTGTAATTATATATTAGAATTCAAATATGTCAACATGAATAAGGTTACTCAACTTAAAAAAGGTTATTGAAACTTTAATACAATCTAAAAGACGATTTCATTAAACAATAATCTCAAAAAAAGATTAAATAAGTTAATTATATTTTCAAATAGAAATGAAGGATTACATAAATTATATTCATATCAGTAATAATTTTATATCTCAAAAAGCTAGACAAAATAGAGTTAAAATAAAAATATGTTTGAACTTTTTTTTAGAAGCATAAGGCTTCTTAATAAAGTTTGGCTTTATGCCACAACTTTTCTTGAGCCGCCCCTTGCAAGACTAGGATGCTGATAATGGCTTAGCGGTCGTGTCTCTGTTAAATCTGATATTATATGTTAAAGACAAAGCTGAAATTTCATGTTACGTAAATTTTGTTGTTACGTAATTAGAGATATGTTTTGATTATGTAAAGTTGAGGCATGGCCAGATATGTAATAGTCAGGTTATTAATTTGTTTCCTTTCCTAAATTGGAATGTAGAAATTGCTAAATATGGTAATGAAAGGGCTGGAACAATTCTGGGCCAGGCCCAAACTCAGACCTAAAGGCTAAGTAGCAAGTCTAAAAGTTCACATACAATGGTCTCTAAGGTTACACGAATGCGAGCCTAGTAAGCTTTTAAGCCCAACTGTAACCCAGTGGCCCTTTTAAGGCGCGAGCTAAACTCATAGCATCTCCAAAGATGTTGGGCCTCATTTGCGTAAACCTAATAATATTGAATAACTCATTTTTTTCTTTTTTTTCTTTCGATATTGGAATGGAAATCACGCCTCAAGTGTTTCAATTACTTTATTCGTTAGAGCATTAGTTGTCTATGACTGTGACGATCCGGTCGATTATTTTGAGTATTTTTTTCTTGTTTTTCATATTTGATGCTTTACATATGTATATTTGTGGTTATGTGACCTGCCGGGGTGGTTGGTTTGGTTTCGGGAAAGTTTTTGGGTTGAGTTGGGACACTTAGACCCTTGGTTGAAGACTTAAGTTGTAAGAGTTGACTGAAATTTGACTTTTGTGTAGACGACTCCAGAACGATATTTCGATGGTTTCAATAGCTTTGTAGGGTGATTTTGGACTTAGGCGTATGTACGAATTTTAATTTGGAGGTTCTTAGATCATTTAGGCTTGAACTGGTGAAAATTATAAGATTGAAGGTTTGGAAAGTTGATAGGTTTGACCAAGAGTTGACTTTGTTGATATCGGGTTTGGATATTTGTTTTGGGAGTTGGAATGTCCTTTATGTCATTAGGGACTTGTGTGCAAAATTTGAGGTCATTCCTGATTGATTTGATGTGGTTCGTCATAAGTTTTGGAAGTTGGAAGTTCCTTAATTCCTTATGCTTGAATTGAGGTGCGATTCATGGTATTTATATAGTTTTGTGTAATTTGAGGCTTCGTTAAATCTGTGTTATGTTTTGGGATTGGTTGATGTAGTTGGACGGGGTCCCCGGGGCCTCGGGTGTGTTTCGGATTATTTTGGACTATGTTGGCTTTGCTAAAGAATTGTTGAGTTCTGCTATTTTCGCACATGCGATGGGTCTGGCCGCAGATGCGAGACCATAGAAGCGGTCAGCGTGAGTGGAGATGTGGTGCTTGGCTGGAAGGTTGGGTCCGTAGATGCGGACTGTGGAGTACAGGTGCGGAGGTGCAGATCATCCAAAAAAGTAGAACCGCAGATGCGGCTTGATGCACGCAAAAGCGGTTGGTCAACTTTTTAGGTGAACTCACAGATGCGAGATTTTAACCACAAGTGTGGTTCCATAGATGCGGAATTATGGACCACAAAAGTGGAATCGCTGGCAGGTTTTACAATTCGAATGGTTTGGCTATTTTCTCATTTTTGGAGTTGTGGCGCTCAGTTGGAGGCAATTTTTGGAGGGCTTTTCATCTAAATTGAAGGGGTAAGTAATCCTTACTTGAATTTGGTGTTAGATATTGATTATCCATAGATTATTATATCTAATTTATATGAATTTAAGGTAGGATTTGGGAGTTTTGTACTATGATTTTTAAGAGTGATAATTGGTGATTTGGGGGACGAATTGAGGTTGGAATTGGATGAAACACGTATATTTAGACTCGTATCACAATTAGTGTTCAAAATTTGTGAGTTTCGTCGGGTTCTGGGGTACGGAACTGGGGTAGACTTCTTGGGTTAACTTTGCATAATTGATTTAAGATCTTAACTTTATATTGGAATTGTTTCCTATGGCTTTTGTTGAGGATATTAAGTTATTTTGGCTAGATTAGAGCCATCCGGAGGTTGATTCACACAGGAAGGGCTTCTTACAGTATTGATTTTGCTTTCTTGAGAAAATTATCTTACCTCAACTTGGTTAAGGCACTAGTTGCTTTAGTTATTTGTGATAGCTACGTTCTATGGGTGGCGCACATGTGTAGGCTTGAGCCCATGTGCGGGTGCACGGGGATATTTTTCATGCTCGGGGATAGTGTTTAGACTATGATATGCCTTAGATTGATTGCTAAGCTTCATGTTGTGATGGTTCTCATATTTGTACTCATGTTGTGAACTATTTGAGCCATGTTTGAGGTTACATAGAGGAAAATCTCCTGATTGAACCTGATAATTGCTACTTTCGTGATGTATTTACCTAATTTGAGCTATGATAGCACACTTTGCACATGCATACACATTAGCATATCACTTATGCCAGTCCAAGAATATGAAATTAAATGTTCATTGATCATGTACATGTATTCTTGTATATCTGCTTTATGTATGATATGGATTGGACTAGTAGCACGTGACCACACCGTGCGGATTGTAATGTTAAGCCTGTGATCACACCAGGTAGATTATGATATTGAGCATGTGACCATACCGGGTTATAATATTGAGCTTGTGATCATGTCGGACAGATTGTGATATTGAGCATGTGACCATGCGGGGCGGATTGTGATATTGAGTCTGTAACCATGCCGAGAGGATGGTAATTTTGAGTACGTGATCATGCAGTGCGGATTGTGACTATTAGCATGTGACTACATCATGTAGCGTGTGAATATGGATCCATCCCCCTAGGGTCACCCTTTCATGCTCCTTCTTTATGGTGTACACACGATATGAGAAAAGTTGATCAGTGGTTTGGTTTGGTTATTGAGACTCTAAGGAAACACAAGTCAGTGTTTGATTTTGTTATTACATTTCATCTTTACTTGCACTTTTCTTAGTTGTTACATGATTTATTTGAATTTCTTCTTTATATGTTGGATTGTTGACTGAGCATAGTATGTTAAGTTAATGTGTGCACCAAGGTGATTTACGTGTGATTCAAGACTTGGTCATTTTATTATTTTGCACATGTTGGAATTATGTGTACAGGTAATTAGCGAGTATCATTCATAATTCTTGCTTTTATCACCTCACCGAGGTTAGTTATGATACTTGTTGAGTGCATGGGGTCAGTTGTACTCATACTACACTCTGCACAAAATTGTGCAGATCCAGGTGTTGGATCGAGCCACCAGTAGTTAAGGCTTGTTGCTGAGTTATCTTTGGAGATGCATCTCGACCGCAGTCTTGGCGTCATTTTTTATTTTTGTGTTATTATCTTCATTCAGACAGTATTGTTATTTAGTATATCAGACTTGTATTTTTGTATTAGCGCTCATGACTCTGTATTTACCAGTTCTGGAGTATTTATTATGTATCGACATTATTATGTGATGTTGATGGCTTTAGAGTTGTATTATTTTCGTCATTTCAGTTATTACGATTCGTTATTATTATGTTCAGCTTGCCTAGCAAGTATGTTAGGCAATATCACGATCAATTAGTAATTTTGGGTCGTGACAATGACATGATTAATTAGATACTCTAATAACCTATTTAAGTTGAGAGTTCTCTGCAATTAATTTAGCCTAATAATCTGCTTGAGTATGTGTGTTGAGAAAACATCAGTAGCTAAAAATAGAATTTAGCAACACTACTAATTATGTAAATGATCTCTATTTATCTAAATCATACACTCTAGCTACAATGGAAATCCATAATCAATAGCCTCACAATAATCTCCAAATTAGTTTTAGAAAAATAACTCAAAATCGCTAGTATGCTTTTATGCGTGTATAATAATAGAACATCATAGTTTGAGTATGGTTTTCAATGCATAATTGTGATACTTAATTCCAAAAATTTAAATGCGCATTTTAGCGGCTTGACCAACTAACTTCAAATGAAAATAAATAAATTTTTATCATGCGTACGTACGCATGGCATAATATTTGACATACAACATAATAAGTATACATACATTCAAGATAAATTCCATAATTCTTTAAGTATTCAAATAAAAGTGTTTAATAGCGAAAATGCATAAAATTCCTAAAATATGGAATAATTGGATTAATTAAGCCAAGTGTAAATTATTAAGTGACCGTTCTAAAGCCACAAAACTAAGAAGTGCCTTACACCATTTCTCAGATTAATAAAATTTCTTACCCGGTCTTCTGTGTTCGGCGACCATATTCCACTACTAAAAAATAGTTCTATTGGAACAGTTATTTGGTAACGGCTACAGAACTGTTACAATAAATTATTTTTTGGGACGGTTTTAATCGTTCCAATAGAGTGAAAAGGCTTTTGATACACTTCTGAAGCAAAACTGTCCCGATAGGATAGTAACTATGAGGACGGTTTAATAAGGCGATACAATAGGGATATTTATAGGAACGGTTTTCTGAAATAAAATATTTATTGAGACGGCTTATTTTTCCCTCCCTGATTTCCCTCCAACATATTTATTAAAAAAAAGTAAAAATAAATTATGACCTCACAAAAAAAACTATACTATAGGATTACTAATTAAGCTTTAAAACATAAAACCTTCGCCTCTCTCATCAGAACCAGACAAATCCTAGACAAATCTGCCAAGGCTTTCGTCCTTCTCGTCTTCAAACCTATCCGCCATCGCGAACTATTTTTCTTACTCCGACGAAGGACAACCATTTCAGCTAATATAAGGGAATCTCAGATGTAGATTATCGGTATTTTTCTGTGTTCGTGGTTGTTCGCTTTCGCTATTGTTTCGCCGGAAAATTATTTTGCCGCTTCTTCTGCTTTCTTTCTCTGGTAAGATTTCATCTAAACCCATTTATTTACTATGTCCTTTGTTTGTATTATATGATTTCTAATTTTTGATTTCATCTAAACCTGGAATTTTTTTGATTTCTAGTTTGTAAAACTGTAATTATCTAGTTAGTTGGAAAAACAAGTTAAATTTTGTTTAGGGTTTTTTGAGTTATTTTCAATTGGAATTTTTGATCTGACTAACGGCAAGGATTTGAGCACCAAAATACATGGTATGTCGTTTTATACTATTGGCAGACTATACGAGCATGGTGTTACATTAAGGGCTTTCTTATTATTTGTTGCTACTTGACTCTTCGTGTTATCGATCACATTTTATCTGTTAGTTTTATGTGTTGTCACTGTCTGCCCTGTTGCATTTGCCTAATTTCCATGAACTTCCACTCTACAAACTTGTTCATCAGTGTGAAAACACTCTTAGAGAACTCAAACCCCAATGCCGCAACTAGTTGTCTCTGTATGTAATTAGCCACCTCATTACACTCTGCTAATTTTAACACCTCATAAACATGAACATTTAAATTTTCAAGATAAACTTAGGCAAAACAGCTCTTCCAACATTGTCCATGTCCTTTAATCTTAACTCACAGAATGTAATAAAGATCATAATTCTTAGTTTAAGTTCATAATCAAGAACCAATAAAAGGGACTTGACAAAAGTAAGAACAAGGCTCTGAAAATGCTACCACCTTCAAAAGCAACTAACACGAAATATGATTCAGATCTAAGAAGTGTGCCCTGAATATCACATGCAACTGCTTCTGATTTTCGTCCATGTAAAGTACACTTGCTTATACGGTGGTACAAAGGAATTTGATGAGATGATCTAAATGATGAGTTTCTAGAAAAGAAACCAGAGTCTTTAACTTTCATTGCAACTCTATAACATGATTTTTTTATTAAGAGTATGTAAACCAATTTTATATTATTTATTTTGGTGTCATATAGTAAAAGTAATTTAATGGATAACAGAGATAAAAGATGGATGGGCCTCCGAAGGTCAACTGATAAGTACATATAAGGAATGAATAAATTTCTTGATAAAGCATTTGAACGAGCTTCCCAAGGAAATCAGATATTATGCCCTTGTAAAGAGTGCGCTAATTGTTTTTGGCATCATAGGAATGTGGTGGAAGACCACTTGATTGTTAATGGTTTTGTTCATGGATACAACAAATGGGTTTTCCATGGAGAAGGACTTTCCTCGAGAAAGACTCCATGCCCAAGCAGTAATGATGATGGTTCTGACATGTATGATGATATTGATGTATTACTTCATGATATATTTCGAAATGTAGAGGATGATTTGGGACATAAAGGAGTGAGTGATGGACCATCGGAAGATGCAAAAAGATTCTTTAAATTAGTAGAAGAAGGGAAAGAAGAATTATATCTAGGGTGTGAGAATTTCTCCAAATTAGGTTTTACGATTCTGTTGTACTTGTTTAAATGCATTCATGGGATGAGTAATGTGGCATTCACAGACTTGTTGGAGTTGTTAAAAGAGACATTTTCATTTGCTCAGTTACCCGAATCTTTCTACAAGGCAACAAGCATGATAAAAGATTTGGGTCTTCATTGTGAAAAAATACATGCATGTCCTAATAATTGCATGTTATTTTGGAATGACAATGTAAATGCAGATAATTGTTCTATTTGTGGGTCTTCTAGATGGAAGAATGTTGTTAAAGTCTTGACTAATAAAAAGACCAAAACCCCTGCAAAGGTTTTAAGGTACTTTCCATTGAAAGGATATTCATGTGTCCTGAAACAGCTATAGTTATGAGATGGCATGCCACTGAATGACCGAATGATGGTAATATAAGACATCCTGCTGATGGTGATGCTTGGAAGGAATTTGACTCCTTACACCCTGAATTCTCTAGCGACCCTCACAATGTTAGATTGGGTCTTTCAAGTGATGGTTTCAACCCGTTTTGAATAATGAGCATTTCCCATAGCACGTGGCATGTTATGTTAATGAACTATAATCTTTCGCCTTGGATTTGCATGAAGTCAGAGTATATAATGTTGTCAATGATCATCCCAGGTCCGTCATCTCCGAGAAATGACATAGATGTGTATCTACAACTACTAATTGTTAAATTGAAGGAACTATGGGAATTCGGTGTAGAAACATTTGATGCCGAATCCAACCAGATGTTTCAAATGCGTGCAGCGTTAATGTGGACAATTAGTGATTTTCCTACACTAGCAATGCTTTCTGGATGGAGCACAAAGGAAAATTTTGCATGCCCCACTTGTAATTATGGAACATGCTCTCAATATCTCAAGCATAGTCGTAAGATGTGCTACATGGGTCATCGGGCATTTTTGCCTCATGAACATCCATTCCGAAGAGATAAGAAATCATTTGATGGTAAGGAGGATCATAGACTTGCACCTACTCCTTTGTCGGGTACAGAAGTCCTCGAAGAGCTGCGTGAATTAAAGAATGTCTTTGGAAAGGTCCAAAAGAAAAGGTCTCGGGATAACAAGTGTCCATGGAAGAAAAGATCCATCTTCTTTGAACTTCCATACTGGGAAACTAAAAAATTGAGGCACAATCTTGATCCGATGCACATTGAGAAAAATATATGTGATAGTATTCTTGGGACATTATTGGAGATATATGGAAAGTCAAAAGATCATGTAAATTCTCATTACGATTTGCAAGAAATGGGAATACAAAAAGAGCTTCAACCAATACAAGATGTTGTTAGTGGAACAATTTCTTTGGCTAAATCTTGTTTCTACATGAATCCAGATGAGAAAAGGCGATTTTGCACCGTCTATAACAATGCCAAATTGCCAAAAAGTTTGTGCCTCGAATATATCACGTTATGTGCATGAGAAAGAGATGAAAATATCGGGATACAAGAGTCATGATGCTCATTTTATAATACATTACTTGCTCCAAGTTGCTGTTAGAAAATCGTTACCCAAGAATATTTCTTTGGCATTGATTAGGTTGGGCAACTTCTTTAGAGCCATATGTGCTAAGGTTATAAGGCAAGAGGATCTTGATAGATTGCAGACTGAAATTAATGATATTACATGTGAGCTTGAAATGATTTTCACTCCAACCTATTTTGATATAATGTCTCATTTGCCTGTTTATTTAGTAAATGAAATTAATCTTGGGGGTCCAACTCATTGTCGTTGAATGTATTCCACTGAAAGAAACTTGTGCAAGTATAAGGCGTTTGTTCGTAATCGAGCTCATCTAGAAGCGTCAATTGCAGAGGGATTTTTGGCCGAAGAGTGCTTGACTTTTTGTTCGAGATATCTACATGATGGGGTGAAGACAAGATTTAGTAGGTACCAAACTGAGGATGATGGGGACATTGAAGGAGCAAAATTGTCACCTATATTTCCTAAAATTGGCCATCCAATTGGAAGTAAGAAAAAGAGAAAAGGAAAGATTTTCCTCATGGATTTGCAGTTATGTTCTGAGGCACATAAATATGCTCTCTTCAATACTGAAGATGAACAAGCGGAGGTGTTTATCATGTAAGATAAAATATATTATCATCACTTGTATTATAAGCCTTATTTATTTTAATTTTTTAAGATTTTTAAATTTAATTGGTATGGACTGATGATTAAATTTGAAACATATGGCTTGCAGGGAACATAAAAATTTAATTGATAATCGTACTAGATCAAACGTGTGGGTAAGAGCAAGAAATCATAGTCGAAACTTTGGTTTAAAGGGAAAGTAAAAGGCATTGACGTGCCCAACCATTTGTGATGGCTAGCTAAAGGACCTAATACATTGGCCAAATGATATACTGGATATTTTATCAACGGCTACTTGTTTCATACAATGACGTGGGATGCCCCGTTGAAGACTCAAAATAGTGGAGTGACTTTGTCAGCAATAACTGATAGTTTTGCTAGTGCTAGGGACCAAAATCTCATTGATGGAGAGGTTCTTTACTATGGAGCTATTCAGGATATCATTGAGATTGATTATTGGGGCCGCTTTAGTGTTGTACTATTTAGATGTGATTGGTTTCGTAATAAAGTAGATGAATATGGGTTAACTCGGGTATACTTTAACCGATTATGTAGTACTGATGACTCGTTTGTGTTGGCATATCAAGTACATCAAGTTTTTTATGTGGAGGATCCAATTGAGAAAGATGTTTATGATGCAAGCAATAAAGTCCTTGTTGATTTGTATGATTTGGAGGAAGAGAATATTCCTAATGTTGGGGAGACATTTTGGAGAGAGCCTAATGATGAAGCAGGTCCATCAACTAGATTAGCTGATATTGATTTTAGATGGTCGAGAGAAGATGTATCTCTTGATGTTATTGATATGCCAACTGATGCACAACATTCATAAGATACAATTATGGAAACATCAGAAGAGGAGAATTTAGATGATACATATTGGGATTGGATGGAGGCTGATGATTGAAGAGGAATCTTCTGATTTTTATTTGTTTTTTTTTTATCTTCATTGTCTTCTTTCGAACAATTTTGTGTTCTTGTGTATGCTCTTGAGTTTTTAGTTTGTTTCAGTTTCAAGCTTCTGTAGTATGCTAAGTACTAGAAACTATAGTCTGATACAAAGCTATTTTAATATGTTATAGTTCAAACTTAGTTTGTTTCGTTCCAAGCTTTTATATTATCCATTGTTGGGGATTTTTTGTTATAAGAAAAAGCCACCCTCTCCCAACCAAGGCCGTGAATGATTATAATGATTGTTGGTTTGATGTGTGTGAGAGAAGTGAAAGCAGACTTTCCAGTAAGGCAGAATACATAACCAGCCCCCCTAAACCATTATCTTTTCAAGCTACATCCATTGCAACTTTCAACAAGCAAATGGATTTGTCTTTTCGTGTTGCTACTACTGATGTTGTAAAGGGGCTATGAAGATTGCTTTCCTTTCTAGGCTATGTTCAGTCATGGCATTGAGAAGATACCTGACCCGTATCTTGGCAAGGCGACCCAGCTATATCTGCAGCCATGGTGATGTCGTCTTCTCTCTTGCTTTGATCTACTGTTGTTGTTGCCGCTACCGTTCTTTTGTTTTTTCTGGAAGCAATTAACATTGCTTAGTTCTCTCTGTAAATATAGCTTCGAGAGATGCAATTAACATGTTGTGCTTAGTTGTTGCTGTTAGTTCTTTCTGAAAATCTAGCCCATGATTTCTTGCTGGAAGCAATTAACAGTGCTTAGTTCTTTCTGTAAATCTAGCTTCGAGAGATGCATGTTGTTGTTGATATGTTGTTGTTGTTGATGCTACCGTTCTTTTGTTCTTTCTGGAAGCAATTAACCGTGCTTAGTTCTTTCTGTAAATCTAGCTTCGAGAGATGCATGTTGTTGTTGATATGTTGTTGTTGTTGATGCTACCGTTCTTTTGTTCTTTCTGGAAGCAATTAACCGTGCTTAGTTCTTTCTGTAAATCTAGCTTTGAGAGATGCATGTTGTTGTTGATCTGCTGTTGTTGTTGTTGCTGCTACCATTCTTTTGTTCTTTCTGGGAATAATGTGTTTTATTTTCTCTAACGGAATTGAGTCCAAAACTTGTCGAATCAACTAAAATTGTTAGATAACAGTTGAAAATTCTTTGGATTACTTGGTATTCAGTTGAAAAACAGTTGAAAGTTTTGTTCTGAAAGGTTTTGAGTTTCTGATTTTTTGAGTCTTGAACCGAACTGAACTTCTTGTTCTATTGTGAGATCTCTTCTGTCACAGACTGAATTAGACTCGATTGATAATCTGCAGCAATGTCTTAAATCCGATGATATTTAGTTGTCTAGGGAATATTGAATCCTGTGGATACTATAAGAAGACCTACTTTACACTTCAGTATCTAAAAGTATTCTGATTTTTTTTCCTTTCGTCAGGGCATCTTGCTTAACTGTCCTAGTTAACAAAGTTACTCCCCAATCATACCATTCATTAGGTATATATCAAGAGTGATTGTTGTGGAAGTTTCCCGAAGCGGTATGAAAATCGATGATTTGATGTCCCCATAACTCAACACAGCGGAATCTGGTCTATGTCATCTTATGCGTCAACCTTTAGACACTTAATTCCTTTTTTTTATACCAGGGGTTTGTCCATTCCCAGGACTCTAACCTGAAACCTCTTGGTTCATTTTTAAGTATCAATTATGAAGAAGACTTGTTCTATCATTTATCTTGTGAACTGCCAGGGTCTTTTCTGATATGGAGTTTGTATTTAGGCATTGGATTTCTGAGTTTTTGAGCTGCAATATTCCTTGTTTCTGCTGAGTTAGCTACTGTATTGGGTTAGCAGCTGCTCTGGTTTGAAAATCAATTGAATTGGTGAATGTGTTAACCTGTTTATTTAGACAATGCATATTCCTTGTTTTTTGTTGTAGTTTAATGTTTAGAGGGAATAAGCTTCTCAATCCTTGATTGTTCTCAACAAGAAATGTTGTTGCTGCTACATATATTCTGCTGCTTTTGTAATACATTTTATTCTTGCATATGACCTTTGTTTTCACTTTTTCGTTGGCTTTTCCTTGTCTTGCAATCTGAAACCATTACTTCGAAACCATCATATATGCATCTTGTCATTCTACTATTGTCATTTATATAATACCTAATAAAGCTATTTTTATTTGTATTCTTCATCAGATTTGATAGACATGAGTCAAGAAAGACCTTCAAAGCCCAAAAGAAAAACAAGTGCGACATACACAAAACCTGGAACAATGGCATCTTTGGCAAACCAAATAAGGACTTCGTTTAGCCAAAAATATGTTGTTCCCACTAGACAATCAAACAAAGAATGGCCGAATATTATTGAAGAGAATTTGCCACAATATCTAGGAAAAGTAGCCCACGTACAAACTAGATCAATCACTTCTGCAAAAATATGTTTTTCCTACTAGACAATCAAACAAAGAGCGTTTGAATATCATCGAAGAGAATCTGCTAGTGCCACAATATTTAGGAGTAGCAGACCATGCACAAACAAGATCAACCACTCCTGCAACACAAGTAATAGAGGAACAAGTTCAGTTGGATTCTACAACTTCTATCGAAGATGAACAATGTGAAGAACAAGGTAAGAACATATAGACTTTATCTAAAAATATTCACATCTTATTTCAGTCATAAAAAATGTATCAACAATAGTGATTTAGTGGTTTTCTTTGGTTCGAATAGTTGAAGGCCCTTCTAATCAAACAAAAAAAAAAGAGGTAAAACAAAGATGAAAAGTGTACATGGACGACATGAGCGTAAATTGATTTTACTTAACAACTTCAATCAACTCGTCGGTCCTAGTGATGGCGTTGTGATAGAGCTTGGAAGCTTCCTCGGCACATTGGGAAGGAATGCGACTCTATGTCCTCTTGATATTTTGGATTGGAGGAAGATGGACACAAAAGAGGATATATGAGAATATACCAAGGTCTGGACTTCTTAATTATTAATTTTTGGTTGAAAATCTTTCATATTTTCTGCACTAACAGATTTGACACCAATTGTAGGATAAATATGATATTCCCGAGGCTGGAAAAAAATACATTTTGGAATCTATTCAAGCTGCCTGGAGAAAGCACAAGAGTAGATTGAAAAAAGGTCACTTTGACCCCTATCCAAATGATGAAACTCGAATGCAACATATCCCTGAAGATGTTCTAGTTTCTCAGTCTAAGGAACTCCTTACGTATTGGAACTCTGAGAAACTTCAGGTATATGACTTTTTACTTGTTCTTCTTCATCTTCTTGAACTTCTTTTTAAAGTTCTTCTTCTTCTTTTTGGTTTTCTCCTTCTCCTTGGCCATTGCTGGTGTCTTTCCCTTCTTTCTCTGCTTTAGGGATGCTACTGTAAATGTTTTCAATGGCTTTCTAGTTGTCTGCTGTTCAGGGATGCTACTGTAAAAGTTTTCAATGGCTTTCTAGTTGTTTGCTTCAGGGATGCTACTTTAAATGTTTTCAATGGCTTTCTAGTTGTCTGCTTCAGGGATCCTATTGTAGTCTGATAGTATTAGTACTTGAGTGAAATTAGAACTATGTAATATGCATTGTCTAAATAATATGAGAGGAATAGACTGATTTGAGGCAAATAATGTATCGTCGTCTCTTGATGATGCAGTCCCTTTCTGTTACTTGAATCTTCAGTTTAAAAACGCTATTTACCTCTACTTTCCCAACATGCCAGATTATTGATGTCCTTTAATTTGCTAGAAACAATCTAGTATATGACAAGTAAAGAACCAAATTGTCATGAAAAGGAAATCTCAGTATATAGTACGAAACGCAACTCCCTTTTATTCGAAGAGATTAATTGCTAAACTTTCATGTGAAATCTCACTGTATAGTCCAAAGTTTTAACCAAAAGGAACAAAAATAAGTAATCACTCTTATGTGAAAACTTGCTTATGACATAAAGTTGCCCTTGGAATGAGGCCCTTGCATAGTCTTAGTCTTTGTTTGGGGTTTCTACTATGATCTTCATGTTGAGCTGCTACTACTGTTTTTCTTTGCAAGCGATGACAATCCATCTCCTCATTGTTGCTATTTTTTCTTTCTTTCAATGTTCTTCCATTTCCCTTATATTGTGTTTAATATATAATTCTCAAGTCCTACTTGTAATTTATTGTTTGATTTTTCTTTCTGTTTGCAGAGAATGTCTAAAACTAACATTGAGAATCGGAAAAAGTTGAAGAAACTTCACTTTGCTTTAGTTCGCTAAGTTGGTGTGTAACTAGCAAATCATGGGAAAAAAAATTTCAGTTCTAGCTTTTGTTTTGTTCATGGCAGATCAGTAGGAATGCTAATTCACTTTCATGTAACTAGGAAAACGACAAGGAAGCTTCGGATCCTTTATCAGCAAAGGAAGTCTTTGTAGCTACAAGAAAAAGAAAAGCCGGTCGATTATACATGTCCTCGGATGAAGATACAACCAATAAAATTGTGCGAATTATATTTAACTAATGTTATATCGAGATCAATTATTTGTTTCTATTTGTTTACTTTTTATTTACTTGAATTATATTTTTTTGAATTTGCTTTGTAGGCTGAAATGGAGGAAATTGAAGCACAACAAAACGAAAATGGCAATGAGTTCATAGAGGCATTTGCATCTGTCATGGGACCTGAACATCCTGGACGTCTGAGATTGTATGGACGGGGGGTTACAAGAACTTCTTTGAGAGGGAAGTAGGATGTTTCGAACCCTCTTCAAATACTTCAAATTCTATACAAAAATTGGAGGAGAAGATACAAAGAATGGAGGAAAAAATTGGGAACAAAAGGCAACTATCCGTCAGTTGTTGCAGATGTCCTTGCACAACTTCAGCGTTCAGGAATTGATATTGATGCTAACATTATTCTGGCGGCATTGGGTGATAATTCATTGGGAGAAGCATCATCTGCTCAGCAAACAACATTGCAACCAATCTGTCATCCATCTACTGGTACCAACAAAGAAGGCCAACTCATTCCAGTTATTAACTCATTGAAAATTTAATAATTTTTGTGAGATCTACTGTCTTAGTTTGGTACTTCATGTGCGCATTCTGTATATTCTTGGCCATGCCAAGTGCCATGCGGTACTCTATTGAAATTATGCCAATATAATGACCAAGTGCATCTCTTATGAATCCTTTCTGAAGGACTTCGAATAATATCTCTATATGCATGATATTTAGTGTTTGAACATATTTAGACACATGTCACCTAGATGCCATGCCGTTCAGGGGCGGATGTACGTACATCGAAGCGGTGTCACGTGAGACCGCTTCGTCGGAAATTTTGATTAAAACTGTTGCTGTAAATGACATGCGAACAGTAAATTTGTACATATTATCTAAAGTGACACCACTTGATAAACATTTCGTTGTTAGTTCAATGGTTAAGCCTTTGGTTAAGGTAGTAAAGGTCCAGGGTTCGATTCCTGCATACGTGACCTTTTGTTTAATTTTATTTAACACCTTTTAAACGCTCAATTCAGAATAATTACTTCATGAATTTGCAATATTTATTTGTGCTAGCTTGCTGTACTCAGCCTCTCAATCTCGTCATCTCCGTGAACTCCTTTGGGTTATCGGCCATCAATTAATTATGACACTGCTTACTGAAAGTTCTGCGTACGCCCCTGATCACTTAGAAATTATGTTGTAAGGGATAATAAGCATATTCTTATGTATCTGTATTCATTATGCTTTACTTTCTGTATATAACGTTATAGTAGCAGCCAACCAGAATTGTAGAAGTTTGAAGCCACCTATTCCCATATACTTTTTCCAATACCATCGGCATAGCGATCTCTGGTTTTGAACATTCTCATTCTGACTCGCTCCTTTTTCGTACTCAATGAATGAGGGAATCCTCAACTCTAGTGTACCTTCTTTCTCGCACTTACTCCAAACTATATCCATTCTGTTTTTTTCCGCATCATTCTTACAATTTGAAACAAAAACCAATCTTGGGAGATTTTTGGGTTGAACACAACTTCTTCTTCAAATTAAAAATACAAACTTTGAACTTTTTTTTAGACTTACCATAGTAGTAGTGTTAATATAATTGGAAGATCAGATGGGGATAGAGAGTAAATACCAAATGAAGGTGGTGGAAGGAGATAATGGCTACGTACTTGAAGATGTCCCTCACTTGACTGATTACATCCCTCATCTTCCTGTACTTACTTTATTTCTTTTCTCCTCTTTTAGTTTTACTCTCTATATATGAAAATCTAGCATATCTGCATTTGTTTGGTTGCTTCACTTTTTGAGTCTTGATAATGTCTATTCAATGACTTTGTTAAAAGGGCTGCTTAATTTGTATGTCTTTCTGCTTCAGACGGCTCCATTGATTTGTGGAATTATTACATGTTATAATGTTCTTTTTTGAGTTGATAATCTTTTATTGCAAGCTTTGATCTGTTTACACTATGCCATAAACATATACTAATATTGAAACGAAAAGCCTAGACCTTTAACTTGTTTACTATCATGCATAAACATATACTAATTTATTTATTTACTTCAAGCATATTCTTATATATCTGTATCTGATTGGATGATCGCAGCTTATTTCAAACTCAATTAATGGCTGAAAGTGCATTATGACAACATAGAATTCTTTTTGCCCATGAAATGAGATTTTTGGAAGCATTTTAGGTTCATAATAAGTATTTTTAGCATATACTTGTGATTTGTGGAAGGATCTTAGGTTCTGAAAAGAAATTATATCATGTTTTAAGCAGGTTGAAAATTATGGAATAGTCTTATTTACAAATGATGTTTTGAGCAGGTTGAAAATTTTGGGATAGTCGTATTTACAAAGAAAACTCTGCCGAAAAATTTAAGAATTTAGAGCGTTTGAAAATGTTGGAGTTATCAAATTGGTCATTCAATTATCTTTTAAAAAATTTATTTAATTATTTCTAGTTGTCTTTTGTAGGTGCAGCGATTGCGGAAGAAAGCAGTGACGAAGACCTTACTTGAGTGTTGTTGATCGTTGTTAAACTTTCTATCATCATGTTCAAAGATATTTTAGTTTAGAACTTTTTGTATGCAAACTCATCTATTTTGACTTTTGAATTGTTGATCAAACAATGCATTCACATTTTGTTTTTGTATATGAGTAATGCTAGTTGAATATTTAATTTTATTTCGTGGTTTATATAAGTTATGGGGTAAAAAATTTCATTGCATAGGAAAATATTCCTCATTTTGCTTCCATAAATATCAGAAATTACAATTGTGAATTGTTGCAATAGAGCATATAACCGTTCCAGTAGACCTAGCAAATAATAATAGCATCCCCTAATAACAGTTGCAATATGTTACAATATCCGTTGCAGTAGGGTACTGATAATTGTTTCAGTATCATCAAAACCGTTGCAATAGACTTAAAAAATCGTTGGAATAATTATACCACAGCGGTTTATAACCGTCCCAATAGAAAAGATAATTGTTCCCATAGATAGAACAATGGTAATAGTACCATAACTGTTACAATACCCCCTATATGGAGACGGTTTTGAAACCGTTACAAATAACCGTTCCAATAGACCTATTGTAACACTGAATCCTGGAACGCCTCCAAATCCGTTCCAATAGCCCTATAGGGACGGTTAGTGTATCTATTGCCACGGTTTTGGAAGGGTTGCCATAGGCGTAATTTCTAGTAGTATTCGAAGTCAAAACTTTTCTTGAACGGGGATTAACAAACTAGTGACATGGAACACCAAAAATCAAATAATTCAAGTGGTGACTCCTTAATAATAAAACTAATCTCTTTTCAAATAATGTCACTTTGATAGAAAAAACTTTCTTTCCACAATCCACCGGAAAAAAGAGGTGTGACAAGGACCAATTTTTTCTATTGGAGGAGTTTGCCTATAATAACAAATACCAGCCTAGCATTCAAATGGCATCATTTGAGGCTTTATACGGTGAGCGGTGTCGTTATCCTGTTTGTTGGTTTCAGCCCGATGAGGCTAGTATGTTGGGTATGGATTTTGTTCAAAAAGGTGAAGTTGATTCAAGATCGCCTTTGTATAGCGCAGAGTAGGCAAAAGACTTATGTGGACAGGAACGTCCATGATGTGGCTTATATGGAGGAGGAGAAGATACTTTTGAAAATTTTGCTTATGAAGGGCATGAGATTTGGGAAGAAAGGCAAGTTGAGCTCGAGGTTTATTGGCCCATTTGAGATCTTAGAGAGAGTTGGGGAGGTTGCTTATAGGCTTGCATTGCCTCCACTCCTAGCAGGGGTACATCCGATATTTTATGTTCCTATGCTTCGGAGATATCGTGAAATAAGTCGCATATATTTTATGTTCCTATCCTTCGGAAGTATCATGAAAAAAATTGCATATTTTGAACTCCAGCATAGTGCATCTTGATGAGGATTTGACTTACGAAGAAGAGTCATTAGCTATTCTAGATCGGTAGGTTCAAAAGTTGAGATCTAATTATATTTCTTCCGTGAAAGTGCTTTGGAAAGGTCTGCCGACTGAGGAGGCTACTTGGGATTGCGGGATAGGCTAATCACCAGACTGCTTTGGAATAGGCTAGTCGCTGGAGACAAGAACAATCTTGACTTTCTTTATACTTTATAATATAAGGCCCCTTTAAACAATCGTAAATGGCCTGAAATGTAATGACCTGGCCCGGTTGCCCTACGCGACTGGCGCTTCAAAAGGCGAAACTCTCGATCGTAGTTTGGCGACCTATCTTCGGTTTGCCTCCACAAACGCGCCACTTAGGAGCCCTACTCATATTCCAAAGGTTCTACTTCAATTCAAGCGCAAGCTCTCCCTTCTATTGCATAACTTAGGAGTCCGAGTCCAATATGAGAAGTATATATCCGTATCTTTTACCAGTCCAGGTATATTTCTATGTCCATTTGGGGACAAATATTTCTTTAGAGATGGAGAACGTAATGACCCCATAGATCGTTTTGAGTTCTAGTTTCCCATTTCATGATCTGAGACATTACATAGAGTTATTTGATGATTTATGACTTGCGTTCGTGGTCCATTTTGTTTTTCAATAAGTTTACATATATTTTGTCAAACAAAACTTGATTTTTAAACTTAAAAATGGTTAGAATTAACTACGGTCAATATTATTAATAAACGACCACGGATCGTTATTTGGACGATTCTGGTTGGTTCTTATGATAATTTTTACTTGTTGGGTCCGGGTGATCCCAGGCCATTTTGGCGCTTGTTGTGAAAAGTTAAAATTTGAAGTTATGAAGTTTGAAATCTTTAAGTTTTTGATGTGTGATTCTTGGTTCTTGGTGTTATTTTGATGTTTTGAGTATACGAGCGAATTCATATGAAGTTTATATACTTGAATGATTGGAGTGGGGCCCAGTGGGACCCGGAGGAGCTCGAGTGAGTTTTGGATTGATTTTCGGCCACTTTTGCATAATTTGCAGCAGCTGATGTGCTGTTGGTGCATTGTGCATCGCGAACTTGTAGTTAGTCTTGCATTCGTGAAGAGGAAAATAGGGCACGAGTGATTTACACAATGCGAGCACGAGGGGAAGCTCGTGAACGTAAGGGCCTGGGGGGATTGGCCTTCGCGAATGCGGCAGCCCTCACACGAGCGCATAGGCATAGGATCTCATAGGCTGGCAGATGGTTCTTTATCGCGAACACAACCAGTGGATTACAAACGCGGAGGCTTGGGGATGATGCATTCGCGAACACGTGGAGGCCTTCGCAAATGCGATGGACACTTGGTTAGTGTTCTTTGCGAACGCAAAGAGCACCTGACGCCCATATATTTAAAGGGATAAAAACCCGAAATTTAGCCATTTTTCACCATTTTTGAGACTTAAATTAGGGATTAAGGAGATTTTTGAAGAGATTTTCATCCCAACTTTATTGGTTAGTAACTTTTATCTAGTTTTTACTTATTTCCATAAATACCCGTAGATTCTTATCCCTAAATTTAGTATTTTAAAGAGTAAAATTTGGGGTTTTAGGAAAAAACTTATGAGGGCTAATTTTGAGAAAGGCCTCGATAAGGTTCAATCTTGATGCAAATTACGTATTTGGACTCAGGGATGAATGAGTAAATGGGAATTAGTTTTAATTTCGAATTTTGACCATATGAACCCGGGTTGATTTTTTGTTTACTTTTTAAAATATGATAAAGATCGAAATTTTTTTATATTAGAATAGTTTCTAAAGCTTGTTTTGACTTATTTGAACATTATTTGACTAGATTCGAGCTGTTTGGAGGCTTGTATTAAAGGCACAACTGTACGGGAATGTTGTTTTGGTTTCGAAAAGAGGTAAATATTATGGTTAAACTTAATTTGAGAGAATTAGATGTGATTGGTATAGTTGCTAAATTTTCTATGTGTCGGAGACCGGTATATGCAAGGTGACGAGTGTGTATGCGTTGGCATTGGCTAAAAGCATGCGACTGAGACTAGTTTATTTATGTCTTTACTTATTTCATGCTATTATTTGCCAAATGCCCTTGCTTATTTTATGCATTTACTCGTTAAATATTTTTACTTGATTTATGCCATTACGGGCTACATGCTCTTACTTGCTACATAATTTAGACAATGCATATTCCTTGTTAGACAATGCATATTCCTTGTTAGACATAATTTAGACAATGCATATTCCTTGGTGAATGTGTTAACCTGTTTATTTAGACAATGCATATTCCTTGTTTTTTGTTGTAGTTTAATGTTTAGAGGGAATAAGCTTCTCAATCCTTGATTGTTCTCAACAAGAAATGTTGTTGCTGCTACATATATTCTGCTGCTTTTGTTATACATTTTTTTCTTGCATATGACCTTTGTTTTCACTTTTTCGTTGGCTTTTCCTTGTCTTGCAATCTGAAATCATTACTTCGAAACCATCATATATGCATCTTGGAATTCTACTATTGTCATTTATATAATACCTAATAAAGCTATTTTTATTTATATTCTTCATCAGATTTGATAGACATGAGTCAAGAAAGACCTTCAAAGCCCAAAAGAAAGACAAGCGCGACATACACAAAACCTGGAACAATGACATACACAAGACCTTCAAAGCCCAAAAGAAAGACAAGCGCGACATACACAAAACCTGGAACAATGACATACACAAGACCTTCAAAGCCCAAAAGAAAGACATGAGGCAATGTATAAAATTTGAGAAAGATTGGAGGTAATTTTGACTGTTTGGAGTCAAAATTTGTTATCAATGACATACAACTAAAAAACACTAGGCAAAAAATTCTTTTTCAATGGTATTAATGGAATTTGTAAACACATATATGAGACAATATATAATATTTGACGAAGAAGAGGGCGATTTGGAGTTAAAATTCATAGTTGAAATTGAGTTTGCATTTTTCTTTTTTGCCTCACATGTATCTAATATATATTTTATATGTATCTCACACATATGCATACATTGATATACAAGGGATATACATTTGCTACATATGAGATACTCAAATAATGCACGGGGGATACAGAGGAGAGGATACACATCTTATCTTCATCCAGGGTCAATTTCTACTTCGAATTTGGTTAAATTTAAAGTTCAAACCACCTCAAGTCACCATCAAATCGTCCCAAAATGGAGAATCAAACTCCTTAACATGTACCAAATCTATTCTAACAATGCCAACACGGAATAAATATCAATTTTGAAAATTCAAATTTTCAAATTCAAGCTTATGCGAGCTTCAAATAAACGAGCTTCAATCACTTTTAATAGAGTTTTAACTCATCTTCTTAATTTTTAAAATTATTTTATTAAATTAATCTATCACAATTGTCTTATTGGAATCAGATATAGGGTCGGAAACACAATTTCGAAAACACGTTTTCAAGCATCGACAAGTAAAAAAACCTTCACTTTGCACATCATTCGGAGTCACTGCATATATTTAAGAGAATTGCAGTATTGGTGTACGAAGAGTAAAAGTATTACTCTTCAACTTAAATGACATCAATAGTTTGGTTTGTACAGGTGATTACGAGAAAAAATATATATAATTTTGTATAGATTGAATCTTAGGTAATCAAAGTAAAGCCCAACGATGAGAAG